GATTGATCACTGGAGAGTTTCAGACTATTACAATCTACTTATTCTGTCATCAGTTTACATAGTATGCCTTTATTATTTATTCCTATCTTCATGCATTGTGGTTTGTTCTGCAGTACCTCAAGGTGTTACAGAAAGCTAACAAAACAATTAACGCTCAATTCTGCCTGTTATGTTGCCTATGTGCAAATGATCATTCGGTTAAAGGACACTGTAATTTGTTTAGGACGTCATCGTGACTCCATTCTGAAGATTAATGTTTCCCGTACAGTTGCTATATGTTGATATGAAAAGAAATTGTTATGATACTTTCGAAGCGAAAATCGGGTGTGCGAAAAAGCTTGAATAATGTAAAAAGTATCGGTAGTGAATACTTCTTAAGTCAGTTTGAAGGACATATCTCATAGTGACACAGTGCTATTTACCAAGCAACATTTCACACACAATTCAAGGTTCATAGTTGCATCAAATCTTTTTTTGATTACAAAAGTTAGGTTTGTTTGTCAAGGTAGATTGAGATCGCCTCTGCTATGTGAAGTAAGCCAGTAAGTAATCTATGTGGTAAATTGATTAGAATGCGAAATTGTGAAAGCTTTTCTAGTATCCGTTTGATGTCCTGTGTCAACTGGGTGTGCAAATATCGAGCTCCTCATCGTTCTAATTTGTCTCTTGCTCAACCATCATAAGTGGTGCTCAGAAATTCAACTATGAAACTGCCTGGTTGCACTCCCAGTGTAACTAGCTCCGCAGGAGCAGAATCAGACAATTTGTCTCGCATCCAGAATCGCGCGGTTGTAGAAGATGGGGCATAATTTAGCGACTGGGAAGTCTTAATCCAAGACTCTTTTTATTCGCTGTATGATGATCTCATTGACAATGTCACTCTTGAATTTCAGCTTCAAGAAGATTTACTTCTCAGGAGCTGTTGGCGTTCTTGTTTCAACCCTCGTAAGATTCTTATGCATAGTCACAAACTTGTCTGGATAACCATTCCTACTAAGCAGATCATGAGTGGTGGTGTACTCTTCCTTTATAGCATCATCTGAAAAAATAGCTATGGCATGGTATGCTAGGCATTTCACTAGGTTCCTTTTGTATTGGAGAGGTATAGCACTAAAGAAGTATGTGTATTGACCTGATGATGTTGGTTTTCTAAAAACACTTCGTTTCAGAGTCCTTTCTAACCTGGATGGATGTGTTTAGGGTATGTATACATTCACGCGCTATGTCGCACAACTGAAAACGTCATCAGCTATAGTTCCATGTAACTTGGTAGCGTGATCAACTCTAACCTTTTGTGAAATAAAGTCAGAATCTATGTGTTTTTAAGTCATCGTATAAACAACTAATCGAACAAAAATCTTTTCTTTTCGTCAAACTCTTATCAGTTATTATGTAAATAACATTGAACTCAAGAAAACATCGAAACAATTATCAAGCTATCATTAGGATAGCGATCAGAGTGTGATTACGAAAGTATTCTTACGAATACGAGTAATAATTTATGTTTGAAACATCATACAGTAAATCAAACTATCACTGTGTTTTTCTCTTACACTAGACTAAAACAGGTTTTAATTTTAACCGAATTTAAGGGGTTTGTGAGGATTTAGAGATTTCTGAAGTTGGTATTCATCCTGTACTAACATCAGTTGGAAATTTGGATCTTTGGATTCCCACCCAGTGCCAGTCACGAAACCAGAAGATCGCGGGTTCGATCCCAGGGGGGGATCGTGGGTGTGCTTTGCTGAGAAGTTCCATATTAGGAAGAAACTGTTATCCAGTGTTGTCATACTTCCAATGTTCCTTCAATTAATGTCAGTCTATGATGAATACCAACTTGAAAAATCTGTAAATCCTCACAAACCCCCGAATTCAATTTAACTAGTGCTCATTGGTGACTAGCTTCGAAAGGTGATTCCTGAAGTTCCAATGAGAAGTCATGACCACTGGAGCAAACCTGGTGATCGTGAAGACAACTACTCAAAAACGACATTAGGTGGCGGTCGCGCTATGCTGCGAACTGACAGAAATAGGAAATATGCATTATTGGATTCCGACCCAGTAGCTAGTTCAGTGGTAACATGCTGGTCACGGAACTCGAAGATTGCGGGTTCGATCCCTGGTGGGGTCCTGAGTGTGCACTGCTGAGGAGCTGTGTAGTGCTCCCAAGTTTCCAATATTCCTCTAATTGATGTCAATCCACGATGAATGCTATTAATCACGGACTGACAACAGTCAGGAAACCATTGAAAATATAGGAATACTCGACTACTGTTTCCTTCTAACATTGGACTGTTCAACTGTACCCATTCTTGATCCCACCAGGGGATGAATCCAGGACTGTATGGGGTGAACAGGTTACCATTGAGTGAGTGGGTTGGAAATCAATGGTCTACATTTTGGTACTTCTGTCATTTCGCGATATAACACGACCATCATCTAATGCTATGATTAAATATTTGTCTTTACGTCCGACTAGATCTGCCCAACTGGTACCAACTTCTACTTAGAGCTTCGGGAAGTCTCACGTTGAAGCATTTCACCAATGAGAATTGTACAGTAGCCCAGTTAGGAGGTTTAGGGGGATATATTTCAATGGTTCTCAAACTGACATCAGTTCATGATGACTATCAACTTGAAATGAGTTTGTTATTGAAACTGTTTTTCTTAGGAAGTTGTCTTATTATGAAGAAACATTTTAACCATTATGTTGACAAATAAGCGTTTTATTCTCCTTTCGAACTGTTCTGTAGGACATTTATGGCATGCTGTAGTGAATCTGCCAGGTGAATTGTCAGTTTAAACTTGTGAATGACAAATACTGGGACAGAATAGTAGTATATTCCATAGACATACATATATACATACAACTGGAGTGGATCATAACCCTGTGCTAGATCATCACTGATTCAAAATTCATCGATTCAAATTTTCCAGTGTATGTCAGTTCAGGAATATCTCGATTGTTATTCCCTGTCTCTGGTGATCTTCTGTTCTCACTTATGATAGAGCTGACGCTAAACAACTTTTCATTCGGAATTCTGTAAGATATGTTTTCCATTTCCGTCGATCCACTGATAAACACCACTGTTAGTCGATTTAATTCTTGTTTATTAAGCGTAGTCGAGATTACAGAAATCAATGGTTAGCGATTTTCAGTGATATGGTTTAAAATTGATCAAAATTTGTTCATATAGAAACATTGTCCCTATAGTTTTTCAAATCCTGAATACTTTCTCCAAACATTCGTCAATTTACTTACCCTTCTGCCAAATTTTAGGCCATTTATTTTCTACCCACCTTATGCTCATATGCTACCATGAAAAGTGGCGGTGTAGAATGATATCATTCACTGCTAGGTTCTACTCTTATATTTTGAGACCAACTCTTATCTACCAGCAAGACTACCACCCCCGTATCTATTAGATACACGAACTCCCGATTATTTATTTGCATTCTGGGATACACAGCACCCCGTTCTATGGCTGCTACCAAATCTAGTCTAGTCAGAAAAACAGAACCTATATTATATTGTTCAAAGTTTTCTTTTTCGAATCTCGGGACAGTTTCTTTGCTAGTGTCCCGGTTTTCCGCATGCAAAGCATTTGCTTTGTCTGATGATATTCATTCAAAGTGCAGCCACCTCCTCCTGAAGGTTTTCGTCTTGTTTTTTCTAGTTATTTGTCTCTGGTAACTTCACCGCAGCCACTGCTGTACCCATCAGCTGTCTGATGACCTTGGCCGGGTCACTAATATCCGAAGGCTGAGGTGTGCTTACTAGTCGTAGTTGCTGGGTGATGGCATTCGGGACACTTTCAGTGAACTTTGCAACCAGCAACTGTCCCTGGGAGTCTTCATCCAAAGTAAGAAGTGCTCGGCTAAGTGGTTTTGACAAATTCACGGACAATACTGGCGAGTCTTCATCTATTCCGAATTTCTTGCTCCGGAACTATCGCACTACCACTTCCTTTTCACTAGGCTGTTAAACTCTGCCTCCAGGCGTTCACTCATTCTCTCTCAAATTTCCTTTCCATCCGCGCATTCCACGCCATCATATACCTCTTTCGCTCAACCCCTCAACAATGTGCCAAGCACCATGACCTTCGATTTTGGATCCCGGACACTCACCAGCTCCGCGACTGACTAGAAGTCTCTGAAGAAGACCTTGATATCTCCATCCTTGAACACTGCAGGCAATGGAATGTTCATCTAAGCAAGAAGCAGCGACACTGTTTGTAGGAAACCACAAGACGGAGATAAAGAATGCGAAGTTTATTATTACATCTCGTACAGTAGTTACCAAATATTGTACACATTTCCGTAGAAAAGTCATTTCCACAATGTACTTCATTTCCTTTTCTGCTTCTAACTTGATTTGTTCTTAATACGCTCACATTCTTTTTTGCATTTTTCTGGACAAAATTTTTACCAGTTGCTGGTAATTGCCAATGATTTCAGCCACCCTGTCAACATTTACCACTTATATCACACTTTGATCAGTTGCGTACACTACACTACTATTATCAATCTATTCTAATTGATGCTTTGTAGTACTGTTCGTCTAGGATAGCAGTGAATATAGTGTAACAGACATTATACAAAGATGTTACGTCCTTGGTAGCTAAGTAACGGCTAGTTGATTTATTTATTAAAAGATGAGGTTTGAGTGATTGTTTCGTAATGGTACATCTAACTATCAATGGATACAGAAAAGAATGATCAAGGGGACTGAATCATCAAGTTTCAGCACTTATTTACTACTATAAGGAAGGCACAGCTGGAGATGTCTTCATTGAAACTGTTGTCCGCAGCAGTTTGAACCAATGTCATCCAATATAGCGGTTAAAAACGTTACCAGTGAGCTATTCAGGTGGAGACACTAATGATGGTTGATAAAATGTATTAGTTAGCTTCACTCGATAATCAGATATTCAAAGATTGTCACAACAGCTCCATAAATTTCATTAACCGTGTTATTTTGTGAATTTTTTTCTTTACAGCTCTACTCTCATTTCTTCTGATTAATTCACAATGACTACTTTGATACAGTCAAATGAAGAGGAACATGAAAGCAGTTTTCTGAAATCTGAAGTAAATAAAACTGATGATAACTCAGAACGTCAGTTGAAAAAATTTACTCAAAATGGAAAAAGTGAAACATACAGAAGAACTCGAATGCAAAAGGTAAGCTAGATGTTCATGTAAAGTTTCTCATTCTTATCTTTATTTGTGAATGCATTTTTCGTATTAATTCAAAGTATGAGCTTCACTTTTGTAGTGTGTCGATTAAGGAGAATCAATAAAGTGTACTGAACCCTCATATGTACAATCTGAACATACTGAAAAAATAACATAAAGGTATGACTGATCTCACCCTACTCAGTGACAAGTCAGTAGTATACATAGTACGAACCTAATTTCCACTTTGTTGATATGAACATGATCTCAACACCTGGATTATGCTTAGTTATATCTATCTCACTGTTGGCAGGAAATCCTGTAAACAACTGCTTGTATTCTATGTAATTTGAAATATTTAACTGTGTTTCTTGGATTCATATGGTTTTATTATTGATGAGTTGGACTACAGACTACTGTTTAATGTTTAGATGCCAAAAAGTTGGCCAGCAGGCCCTATTGGTTGGTATGGATGTCTTCTGACCAAATACTCGGCATAGTTAGTCTAAGCGAGGCCATTTTAGAATGTTTACAGCCATTTTTAATCCACCTGTGAAATTCTTTCAAGTTCAATTTCCTAGTAATCTTTAAAAAGCCTACAAATATGAAATTCAGAATGAAAAGATGAATCCGCTTCAGTCTTTCTTCGAGAAGTCAAAAATTGTTGGTCACTTTACATGTTCCTCATATTCAATAGCTTTTCGCTTTGATTTTCCCATTGATCTGTCTACCATGATCTATTCATTATATTCAAGCCTCATTTTTCGATACAAGTAGGCCTAGTTTTCATTCTTATTTCATTTCTAATGAAAAGATGTCAGTTAATCTGATTTCATTGTTTCATTTTTTTTAAGCGGAAGTAAATTTATTTAATCAGCTGTGTATATGTCAACTTACTCGCAGTTAAACTCCTTTAAGATCGCTGTTGATTTCCTTAAGTAATACCCCTTCTTAAACTCTTTACAACAAAATCCATGATATCACAAGGGTGAAGTTCAGCAAACAAACGTCGGTATACCTTTTTCTACAGTCTTGGTTCGTAGCACTGCTCAGTATTCTCATGTTCTTTTTTAGTTAGCCATCAGACTATGTCAACGTTAACTGGACAGAATGTTATGCATTTCTATGTTGTTTTAAAAGTTCCGCTAATCCAAAACAACTTTCTGTCATGAAACTGGATAATACACTTCTTGATTCTTGTTGAATATCCTTGAAATGAATTCCCTATGATCAAAGTGAGCAATTTAGAGCTAAATAGACAATTACAGTTTACGGATATCTACTGGTAACACCGGGATAACATGACTCATCTGAAGATGGAGAGGAATAGTCTGTACGATTCCAACTCATAGAATGAATCCTAAATAACTTACAAACAGATTCGATGGTCTTATATCGAACCCCTTGAACGATCGTAGTTTTGAACTATTAGGGTCCATCAAACAAATACAAGATACATTTGGAAGTAGTATTCATCATGGACTGACATCAGTTGGGGAACCATTGAAAATCTGGGAGGACTGGACAGCTGTTCCGTCCTAATATGGGACTCAGCAGTACGCACCCATGACCCGGCTATGGATCGAACTCAGAACCTTCACGGCGAACGCGCTAACCATTCGGCCACTGGGTCGGTTTCCAGTGGTTCACAATTTCCAACTTCTATCAATTCATGACGCAGCGCGACTATCAGCCAAGGTCTTCAGTTAGCACCCACTTCTCTTCCGACTGGTTGACCCCACAGATCATGGATTCTCATTAGAACTTCCTAACATCCATCTGGAAGCAAGTCACTAATTACTCTATAGTGCTCATTAGTGACTTGCTTCCAGATGGATGTTAGGAAGTTCTAATGAGAATCCATGATCTGTGGGGTCAACCAGTCGGAAGAGGAGTGGGTGCTAACTGAGGACCTTGGTTGATAGTCGAGCTATGTCATGAATTGATAGAAGTTGGAAATTGTGAACCACTGGAAACCGACCCAGTGGCCGAATGGTTAGCGCGTTCGCCGTGAAGGTTCTGAGTTCGATCCATAGCCGGGTCATGGGTGCGTACTGCTGAGTCCCATACTAAGACGAAACAGCTGTCCAGTGTTCCCAGATTTTCAATGGTTCCCCAACTGATGTCAGTCCATGATGAATACTACTTCTAAATTAAAAATTCCCATTCATCTCAAAAATACAAGATACATTTGTCTAAAACTCTTCTGTCTTCACATACACTTCAACGAAGCAAAGCTTTATTCTAATAAAAGCGTAATAAAATGTATAATTCTGTTTTTCAAGAAAATGTTAAACTAATAGAGTGGATAATGTCTTTCAGCTATAACACGGTTTATCAGATTGGTTACGTTTTCAATTTATTCTATCAATTTCAAGTATCGATCTGTCGCATTTTTCAATATCACCCTGCCTTCCTAAATTTCAGACTAATAATTATTACTTATGAAAATTATTCAGTTTCTTAAACTGGATTTTCATTGTTTCCTTTACTTTCCTCCTTATCCAGTGTATCCGAAGCTGCTACTTGAACCATTTAAGTAGATAAGCATTATTATTATTTTTCCCTTGGGTTTCCAGTAGAAAATAGGGATTCAGTAGCACATCCCCATTCCACACTCTTCTACGCAGTCTTCCCTATCAACCTCGCTACACCACTCTCCAGTAGCTTTCATTTATTCCTCACATCGTCTCCTATATATCGCCCTCACCTCTCACGCACAACTCGTCGTTTCCCCTTTCGATTCCACTCGAGTGTCTTGCCTGACCTGATGCGTGATGTCCCCAATCGGACTTCTCAGTATATGTACAATCTAATCCAATCCAATCCATCTCCACTTCAACTCTCTTCCACTGCATATCTGATGGGTGATAGCTTCTTGGTTGGTTCGTCCATTGCCAAACTTCCTTGTTACTTATTCTTATTATTCTGTCCATCTGGCCTGATCTTCAGTATCCAGTGAGCGTAGTTGGCAGCTGTTGATGTGATGCGTATCTGTAGTTTGTTGGAAATGCTTTTCGTGACGCACCAACCATCTCAACCATCACATAGCAGGACTGACTTACTTGACTGGATCGGTGTTGGAAATGCGGATGTTGTTCACGCCTTGTGCTGAGTGCAGTAGATCTGCATACTGATTTCAGATTATTGGAATCCTGTCTTGCTTTCCGGATCCTGGCTGTCTTTGATATCCTTGTCTGTGCCAGTGCCACCACCTGTAGTTGAAACGATGCTTCCTAGTTAGGTAGGTAGGTGTGAGGTTGTAGGTAGGTAGGTAGGTGTGGGATTGTAGGTAGGTATGTAGGTAGATAGGAAGGTAGGTAGGTGAAAGAGACAACTTCGTTTAGGTATCTCCCGTTCATGGTGATTGGTGCTTGGTGTTGATGTTGTTCTTCGTTGGGTATCTTCATCACTTCTACCTCTGTCCTCTCCACTCTCTCTCACTTGAAGTCCCGTGTCTGTTGCACAGTCTCACCTCTTCTGTCAACTTGTTAGTTTTCGCCTGTAAATCTTCGAGTCTGCGCTACAAGGTGTTGGACATAAATCGTCGGCGAAATCCAGGTCCTCTTCTAGGCTGTTTTCATCGATGTGCTTTGAAGTTTCTTCAGCGATTGGATTTGTTTTCGGGGGTAGGGTTGCTAGGCCAATTCCCAATCTCCCCTCTTTACCCGAGCTTAGGACCAGCTAGTAAACTAATGAAATAGTTGACTAGGCAAGTAGAATTCATTGTTCATAATCATGTCAAAGTAGTGATAATACTTCTTTTTTCCACTTTTTTTTTAGTAACTTTACTGCCCTTTTGTTCTTTGATTTAACTGGTAGTAGAGTTTTCCATATATCTGGAACTGATATTCATTGCTTAACCTCACTCTCTGCTTAACTACATAAGCTATGGCTGGATTCTTTCCTACTATACTCATTTTAGAATTATCTATCACTCTGTGTCTAGCTACGTTCCAATTTTCTGCTATCCTGTCTAAGTGAGATCGATTAGTTTGGCCTATAAACTTGACCTCATAGTCATTGCAAGATATTTAGTAAGTTACATAACTCTGACTGACTGGGTCAATATAATACTTAAAATGAAACGTTTGTCCTTTAGTGAATTTGAAGATTTGAGTAGTAACTTGATCTCATCCTTGTTGAGTGTCCTAACTGGTGTTTCTGGCATAGCTTCCTTATATGGCAACACTGTAAGGACCTGAAATTTCATCTCTGTCGTGTTGCAACCATTGTTCACATCACTATTTCGCCTTTTTCATGCCTCTCCTTATAAATTTCTGTATGGAAATCAAGAGGACAGTTATTGAGAACTAGAGTTTCTCCAATATATTTCGTTTATTGATTTACATTTTTTTGACTGACCGGAGAGACTCTTAATTCGATTTCTTAGACATTTAACTATTATTATATTGTTATTTGTCCCTTGGGTTCCTAATGGAACATAGAACTTCAGTAGCACGTCTCCAGTGCACTCTGTCCTCTGAAGACTTTTGAACCTGGTTCCACGACTGCCCAGAAGCTCTCATTTCTTCCTCTCACAATCTGCTCCATGTCACCCCCGGGGATGCTTAACTCGTCGCTTCCCATCTGGGTTCCACTTGAGCGTCTGGCACGTGATGTACCCAGTCGGCCTTCTCAGTGTAGTATGAAATGAACTGATGTCGATTAGAATATTACTGGTTTTCTGCAAAGATTGTTGTCCAAGCCATCATCTTGTTGTCGTTTTACTTTGTAATTCTTCGTGTTCATCTTCTAACTTGGAAATAAATGATATCGCATGTGCCAACTGAGCGTCTATGGACATAACTGGATTTCAACACAGTGAATGTGTTTTCGCATTTCTTTCTAAGAGCCATACTCTGTCAGCTGTTCATAAGAATATCTGCTACAGCTAGGGGCATTTGTAGTCCGATATTCACTGTTTCTATCTATCTATGAAGTTGAGGTGTAACTTCTGCTATAATTTCATCAGTAGGTACCTTCGCTCTAAGAGTAAAGTCATG